TCAAAAAAAAAAAAAAAAAAAAAAAGCCAAGGTTCTACCTCAGAGCCAAAGAAGCTAGGACAAGAGAGGTAGAGGCAGGTTGGGCTCAGGGTGGTATTAGGTGGGAATTTTCTCTGTAGTGGCTTTGAACTCACACAGGCCTCAGGTCAAATCTCAGCCTATAGGTTACATGACTTTGGACAAGTAACTTCTCAAAGTGCAACTGTAAAGTAGATATTAGTAACACCAACCTGCAGGGCAGCTGGGAAGTATGTGCAGCATAAAGCAGCACTGAGGTGAGAGGAATACAGCAAGTGCTCCATGTCCTTAGCTTCTTCCGTGTTTGCACCTTGCCTCACCTTAGGAAGAAGTAGAAAGCAGGCCCAAGTCTGATCTCAGGCCCTCTTGGAGAGGCTCTCGTTTCCCATCTCAGCATTTCCTTCCATGTCCTCCCTAAGGACTGCACTGTCACACGCAGACATAGGCCGGTGACTGGAGGGGATGCTGCCCCATTCTAGTCTCACCTTCTCTCGGTATCTTCTGTGTCTGGGTTACTATGAGTACATGACTACTGCCTGGCTAGGAAGTTAACACAACCAGGCTGGCAGATCTGTCTGTTGTGGGATGAGCTTGGGGACTTTCAGAGAATGTAGCCTTGCCCGAATTACACCCAGACTTAGGGGTAGAGAGAGCAGCCAACTGTGGTCTCTGCCTCTAACTCTGTAAGGCCTCAGGGCTTCACCTCTTTACTGCATACCCTCTTGAGGCAGCATAACCTGCTAACTGCATTCTTGCACTCATATGGGGCAAAGGTCCCGTTGGAGTTAGGAATGAGGCTGTAACATGTGGGACCAAATTCTCAACTGGACTATGGTGAGGCCATGGACATGGCTCTATGATGCCAGATGGGATTGGGGAGGGGTGTTCAGGGCTCCAGCCCTGATACTACCCTACATTAGGAAAGGAATGGAGTTGGTAGCCTAATACAGTCCTTTCCCAAAAGTCTCTTGATGTTTTTATTCATGTATTTATCAACTATGTGCCAGGATAGGCATTTAGGACAAAGGAAGATGAATGGTTCAAGGGAAAGAGAAAACACTCTAAGATCCAGACCTCTTCTTTAAAGGCTCAGTTTTCTAACTCTAATAGGAATTATAATGGCTATCTTAAGGACTTGATGGCTGAGCAAAGTGGTTCCTGCCTGTAATCCTAGCATTTGGGAGGCCTAGGCAGGTGCATTGCCTGAGTTCACAGGTTCACGACCAGCCTGAGGCAGGGACTTCATCCTGAAAAACAGTTGGGCAGCTCAGTGCCTGTGGCTCAAGCACCTAAGGCGCCAGCCATGTAGACCCAAGGTGGTGGGTTCAAATCCAGCCCAGGCCCACCAAACAACGATGGCTGCAATGTGG